AGTGAGACTCACAAGACATTTCATCCATATTGACACATTTCTACTGAAATCAAGGACTCAAGTAAAGAAACTGCTCGTATTTGTTGTGAAGTGTACCGTTTTGTGAGTAGCATCCTACTTCTTTGTTTGAGGAAGTGTTATTTAAGAATCCTTTTGAATGAAACTCGTAAATCTTACAGTTAATCCTATCACTCTTGATCCTATACCGACTCATTAGACTGTGCACGTAACTATACATGCTTTGAGGTTTTGATTTTGAAAGTGTATGACTCTATTATCGATACTTTTACTCAATTTATTGTTGATGTCATTGACTTCCATTTTATTATATATTTGCTGTAATTTTCAGGACTCGATGGGTTGTTCTTCTTCTAGACAAGAGGAAAGTGATGTAGAAGCTGGGGAAGGGGACGAATGTATAAACAATGGTCAGGATGCCGCAAAAAGAGTTAGTTTTTTTAAATAAAAATATTCTGATTTTGTTATTTTTATAATTAGTGTCTGAACAACATTAGTTTATGCTAAAAAATGTTTCATCTGATTATTTTTTCAGCTTCCAGAAAAAATTGATCCTGCACCTCTGGAATTTCAAGCTCAGGTGCCACCTGATACACACGATCCTGCTGCTTATAGTCATCCTAATGCTGCTACTGCTGATAATAATGAGAAATTATTGATTAGAACAGAATTTGATAGGGATAAATACAAGAGAGAGGTTGAGGACAAGGAACGTCTGATTAAGGAATATGAAGAGACAATTCTTGGACTCAAACAACGTCTGAAGTCGGAAAAAAAATCAATAAAAGAAGAACTAGTGAAGGAGAAGGAGAATGTGGAGAGAGAAAGGGACCAGCTGGCTAAGAAGTTAGAAGAGAAAGAAATGATGGAAAGTGTTGAAGTAATTGAATTTCGTAAAGAGAAAGAGATAGAGATAGCCAAGGCAATAGAAGCAGTTAAATGTGAAAAGAGAAAGAAGGAAGAGCTTCAGAAGGAACTGAATGACATGGAGGCCGACAAAATAGACCAACTTCAACTTCAGAAAGCAACAGTTGATGATTTGAGAATTAAACTAGCACAAAAAGAGGAAGACATTCTCCTAGCACAAGCAGAAACTGCTAAAGAGAGAAAAGAGAAAGAAGCATGGCAGGAACAATTAATGAAAGAAAAAGAGGAAGAGAGGGAAGAGAAGGAAAGATTACAGAAGGAGCTGGAAGACTTAAAAACAGAGCACGAGATGAAACTGAAGGAACAGAAAGAGAAGTACAAATTCAGAAAGAAAGAACTGAAAAATGAAGTGGAGAGACTGACAAAAGCTGAAACACTCCGACAAGTTAGTAGATATACTTATAATAATAATAATAATAATATGTACATGTATGTGTACATGTTTGCTACTATTCATAGTCTTTAATACATACTTGTAATATATATTACATACATGTACATGTATCTTTAGCTTATTATTATTATATGTATTTATTTTTTATGCAGAGTGAAGTTCCTGATATTGGTGGCACTAAACGAGAGGCTGAGCTTGAGAGAGAACTGGGTATAGAGAAAGATCACGTGACTAGCCTTCAAGAAAGAATAGCTACCATGAAGGAAGGACTCCAGGAGGAGAGGATCAAGGCAAAAGATAAAGAGAAGCTTCACAAACAAGAATTGGAGAGGGAGAGAGCTCAAGTCAAAGCATTAACTGATGACAGAGCTAATCTTGAAAGAAAACACAAGCAGGAAATAGCTAGATTGAAGGTATGTGCTATGTCTAATACAAGTTTTCAATTATTTCTTTATTTTAGGAGCAATGGAATAATGAAGTAAAGCAGCTTGAGAATGAATTAATTGCTCGTCAGAAAGTAAGACTATATACAGCTGCTTGTTTTATAGGGAATTTTTTGAGGCAATTCTGATCAGTAATATGTATTTTGCCATTTCCTAAAAAAATTGATACAATATTGAAGCCCTAGTTTGAGATGGTATTATCAAAACTAAGATGGTGTGTTGTTTGTATAAGTTGGCTTCAAGGGCTGAGCTTATAATTTAAACTTTTAAAATGGCAGAACGTCGCATGACACGGAGTCAATATAGAAACCAAAAACCTTATGAAAGACCAATAGCAAAGAGAATTGTAAGACTTCAGCTCAGCTACAAATGTATATACAGTATATGCATGTACTTGGATTTAATATGATGCTGTGTTTTGTGCTGATCTGACTTGATGGTGATTCTCATGTAGGATAATGAAGAAATGAAGAATGAGCTGAAACAAAGAAAAGCTGAGACAAGACGCTTGAAGCACTCAGAAGAAGAGCAAAGGACTGGATTAGAAGAGAAGGAGGCTGAGCTCAAGAAGGTTCAAGATGTAAGACTTTAGCTTAAATTAGCTACTAAGTTACACATGCATATACATGTATATATATGCATGTACTTGGATTTAATATTCATCCACTGTAATGCTGTGTTTTGTGTTGTTCTGATTTGATGGTAATTCTCATGTAGGATAATGATAAAATGAAGAATGAGCTCGAACAAAAAGAAGCTGAGACAAGACGCTTGAAGCACTCAGAAGAAGAGCAAAGAACTGGATTAGAAGAGAAGGAGGCTGAGCTTAAGAAAGTTCAAGATGTAAGACTTTAGCTTAAATTAGCTACTAAGTTACACATGCATATACATGTATATATATGCATGTACTTGGATTTAATATTCATCCACTGTAATGCTGTGTTTTGTGTTGTTCTGATTTGATGGTAATTCTCATGTAGGATAATGATAAAATGAAGAATGAACTCAAACAAAAAGAAGCTGAGACAAGACGTTTGTTGTACTCAATGGAAGAGCAAAGGACTGGATTTGAAGCTGAGCTCAAGAAAGTTCAAGATGAAAGGGCACAAACTGTGTCTCAACAACTCAGGCAACTCAATGCTCAAAAGAGCACCATAGCTCAATTAGAAGAGCAGCTGGGAGTTAAAAATGCAGAGGTACTAATTGTGCACTGTTATGTATTGTTAAGAACTTGCACTTTATTTGTAGCACTTAATTATAGTTACATATACCGTACAATTGCATCATTTATAAGTCTCTTTTATTTTAGATTGATATTTATAAGCAAGATTTTGATTCTGAGAGAAAGGATCGTGAAAATGCTCACTCCAAAGTAGCAGAGTTAGAAGTGAAAGTGATGGAATTGACAGCACGTCTAGCAGATAAAGAGACTGAACTAGCTGAAGCAAGGAAAGAGTTGAAAAAGCTGAGAAATGTACCTATAATATACTGTATAAGATAAATTTTATTATTAACACTAAACTATATTGAGTGTAATGTAACTTGTGCTTAAAATTTTTTTCTTCTAATTTTAAAATAGAAAAGCAAAGAATTGGAACAAGGAGAGGCGGACAGAGTAAAGGAAATGGAAGATGAAATTCAAGTATTGACTGCTCAAGTCAATGCTTACAGTCGGGAGGTGGACAGACAAAAGAGATTAGTAACTCAGAGTCAAGAGAAACAAAAGAATGAGGTATGTGTACATATACTTGTATATGTACTTGTACATTATTACCATTATTTAGAATGACTGTAATTTTGACCAAATGCAACTTTAAAAATTCATAAAAAATTCAATTTTGATTGGATTCAACTCAAACTTGAAGCATAGCATAAAAACATGTATATGTATTAGAAAAAATTATAAAAATCAAAAAATTTTCCTAGTCAACTCTGACAAAATTTGGCCGAAATCCCTGTACTATAGTATAAGGACTTTGGCCCGATTTTTGAGCAACTTTAAAAGTTCATAAAAAATCCAAACTTGATCGGAATCCACTCAAACTTGCTACACAATATAAGTACATGTATATGCATCAGGAAAAATCATAAAAATGCAAAATTCTTTCTTTGTCATTTTTGGCGAAATTTGGCCGAAATCCCTGTACTATAGTACAGGGACTTTGGCCCAATTTTTGAGCAAATTTAAAAATTCATAAAAAATCCAAACTTGATCGGAATTTGCTCAAACTTGCTACACAATATAAGGACATGTATATGCATCAGGAAAAATTATAAAAACGCAAAATTCTTTCCTTGCCATTTTTTGGAAAAATTTGGCCAAAATCTCTGTACTATAGTACAGGGACTTTGGCCAGATTTTGGAGCAACTTAAAGAAATTCAATTTTGATTGTAGTCAGTTTAAACTTGATAAGACATGTACATGTATATGCATCAGAAAAAAATAAAACAATGAGAATTTTGTCAGAGCAATTTTTGACAAAATACCATGTACAGCAAGGAGCCACAGTTTGCAATTAACATTTCATATAATTTCATTATTATCCTGTCTGTATCATGTACTTATACATGTATTATTATAGGTCAGTGAGTTAAATGAGAGACTTGCTAATGAAATACAGTCCAAGCAACAACTGGTACAAATACTCTGTATAATGTGAGTGTGTGTATTTAATATACTTACTGTAGGATGGGGAGCTGGCTAGGATGAGACAACAGTTAGCCAATGTATCTGCTAATAAAGAAGAATTATTAACAGCATACAATAAGGAACAGACTGCTGTTACTAGTCTACAGCAACAGCTTAATAGTACAAGGAAAGAATTGGTTAAAGCAAAAGAAGAATCTGCTAGAATGAAAGATGCTAATACAGTAAGTGATAATGTATTGTGTATGTACATGTACATTGTACAGTGTAGGTCATTCTCAGTTTAAACAATGCTGTAAAATGCATGTACGTGTATAATTCAAAAATATGAAGCCAATAGCATAAGGGTATCAACATGTTCATGTATCCCACTTGAGCCAATTACAGAAACATTCATTGAATACTATTGTACCTTAATGCACTTGTAGTTGTAGATACAGACAATGTATACTGGCTGCTAGTAATTAACTTCATTTATGGTAGGTCTTGCCTACAAGACTTAAAAGTGTTGGAAAAGACGTTAGCCATGAGCCAAAACGTGATCATTATCCGTACAATCGTCATCATGACATTGAGCAGAGCAACGAAGGACCTCAATCTCTTGATAGTATTATGTCACCACACACTCCATCATACCAGCAGCACCCTCAATCACCCAATATTCACATCTCTAATGTTCACAATATTCCTATTGTTAGTGCTGATGGAGGAAGAGAAGGAGGACATCACTATCAAGAGAGAGATAGGAGGAGGGATGGACCAAGACGTCTTCAACACAATGCTTCAGACAGTAATATTCTAGATCAACCAGGAGGAGCTGCTAACAATTACAGACCCAGGTCACACAGTAATGAGACTGAGAGACAAAGAATAGCCGCCAATCAGAAGAGACAGGAAGAAGAAAGAAGACGGAGGCAACATGAAGAAGAAAGAAGATGGAGGCAACATGAAGAAATGAGAAAGGGACAGGAGGAGGAAGCACGAAGGCATGAGGAGGATATGAGAAGAAGATACGATGAGAACATAAGGAGGCAGAGAGAGAGGGAAGCAGCAGAAGAAGCTGAATGGGAAAAGGCACGACAAGAAGCTGATAGACTACTTAAAGATTTGGATGAATTTAGAAGACAAGATGCTCACCATCCACCTCGTTCGCCATTAGCTTCAAGTCAAAATATACACAAACGCAAGCACCAAGAATCAGTAGCAACCCAGGAACGAGAAGAAAAACCCAAAAAGAAAGGAAAGCAGCAACGGAAGACTGATGATGACTCAGACTCTGACATTGAAGAGAATAAACTGATTGATAATATTGATGAAGAGATACAGCAAATGGCTGAAGATGTACGTAAGGGAAGCAGAGGCCCTACTACAGCTGAGGTTCTGTTTGATGATGGTGATAGTTCGTTACCTTACGACCCGAATCTAGTTTGCCCAAAGTGCGGAAAACAATATCGTGTGGGGGAGATCCAGAAATTGAGGAGACATATAAATGAATTCTGCACAGGAATAAGATAGATATAATTGTGACTGTGACTGTCTAATCTACAAGTTTTGTTAACATTTAGTATTAGAGTTTATTAATTATTATTATTAATTTTTATAAAAATCATGTAACGAGCCCATATGGGCTTTACAGGGCGTGGTTTAATATGGCTTTGCATTTGGAAGGATCCTCAGAGGTATAATAATAGAACATGTTTTGCAATTGACCTTCTTTTCTATTGAATTCGTATATAATAGCAGGAATATGACCCTCTGAACGAACATTCTATGCAATTGTTTGTAGAGCAGGCGCAAGCAATTCAGAAAAAGTTTCGCCTGTTTAGGGAAACGTTAGAAGAAAATAATGATTTGAAGAAACTTGCAAACTTAAAAGCAACTCAACTGAATGAACGAAGTACAAGACTAGAGGGAAAGGAGAGAGAACTGGAAAAAAAGGATATTCAATTTAGAGAAAAGTTAGAAGAGAATAAAAAATTGAAGAGTCTTATGGAAACAAAAGATACTCAACTGATGGAGAAAGATAGAGAAATTGAACGATTAAGAGAAACAATTGATCAGCAAGATATTCAACTGAGGAAGACAACTCTGGAATGTTTGGAATCAAGCAGAGAAAGGAACTTAAAGCAGCGTAAAATTGAAGAGTTAATGGAGACGGTTAGAATAGATTTGTGATAATCGTTAGTGTTGATACTCCTTTATAGAAAGCATCAATAGAAGAAAGATTTGTTGAGTTGATGAAAGAAAAATCAGATTTAGCATTTGAACTGAATGATGCTAAATATAAGATAAATGATCTGACACTACAGGTTTCTGATTGTATCATTGAGGTATGTGAATACATTAACTTTGTCTTCTAAATTATCTATGTTTTGACCTTTTTCTGTGCTGCTATAAATAATGGTTTTTATAGGCATCAAGATTAACAGAGGATAAGAAAAGATTGTCTGAGAAAAGAAATAGACTAACTGATGAAAATAATAGATTAACAGAGGACAGAGACAGGATAGCAAGTCAAAGAAATAAATTAGCTAAGAAACTTAAGAAAATAAGTAATGGGTCAGAAGCAGTAGAGTCAGAAGATGAAGAAAAGCAAATCCTCATAACTCAAGTTAATGCTTACAGTAGAGAATGTGACAAACTAAAGGGGCAACTACAAACTCAGGTTAGTTGATACTCATGTGACTGGTATCATTATCTCTATACCACAAAATGATAACTGTATTGTAACTAAAATAATGTTACTAGTGTTCAGAATACAACAGATCACTGGCAATCGAAAAGAAGAATTGCCTAAGACTTGAATCAGAACTAAGGGATCAACTACTTGCTCATGAACAACACAATGAAAAGGTAAAATGCTATACTCTCTCAATTTTCACTATCAGATTTGTGTGCCAACAATTTCAGATCACAAGACTCACTAAAGATATTGAGGAACTTACAAGACAGTTGGATGGGTGCAACAAAGAACTGAGTACAGAGAAGGACAAAGTTTTAGAATGGAGTAGAAAATATGACAAAGAGAAGGAGGTGATCAATGCTTTAAAATATTCTTGTCATTTTGACAATTATAGAAAAGAGAACACCTGCACAAGAAGCACAGAGCAGAAAAAGAGAGACATCATGAAGCAAATGTTAAGCACTGCGATATTATTGATCAATTGCTTAAAGAGCTACAACGGGCCGATAAGATAATTCCCAGACTAGAGCCAAGTTTAAATCTCATACCAGAGAGTACAACAGATGAAAATTGCTGCAGCATTGATCAATTATTACGTGATTTGGATGAATCCAGGAAAAATCTCTTAGCTAGAAATAAACATAGGTACTCTGATAGTACTACTAGTGCTTATAAGGTATTCTATCTTATTGCATCAAGATTTAATATTATTAACTTTAATCATGTAGGCTAGTAGTAGTGCTGCTGTAGCAACTGATGGTACAACTCGAGAAAGATCTTGTGATCCGACAGCGCAAGAAGTAGTTTCCTCTGATGATGAAAGACCATATGATCCCAGCTTGGTCTGTCCTAAATGTGGCCGGAAATTTCGTGTGGGACAGGAACAAAAACAAAGACGACATATTAATGAATTCTGCACAATGAAATAACACTATTTTTATCATAGGTGTAGGAACAAACTAAAAGTTGGGGGGGCTAAGGTATTATTTATTTACAATCATAGGAGCATGATTTAACAATTGATCATTAATACATAGCATGTACTGAAATTAATATTGTCCAAAATACTGGCGTCTATGCTCATTAAATGTAACAAATTTCTTTGCAATGTCCTCGATGTGTAAATCATGTGTAAATTCTTTGTGTGTATGCAAAATAACTACATGATTATAATATAGATGCTCTTGTGACATTGTGGAGTGCAAGTAGTTTTTTAATCTCCATAACGTCAAAAATCTATGCTCAGCTGAAGCTGATGTTAGCAGAGTTGTTAAATAAAGAAGTAGAGCCTTGTGTATTTCTGAAAAAAAATAATGAGAATGCATGTTCTTAGAAGTTAAGCTAGTGTATTAATTGTTTTATGAAACGAATCATCACACAATATGCACACATATAAGGATTACCTAAACTAAAGTCTATAGTGTTGATAATAGTAATACATGTATATCACTTAAAGTTGGGGGGGCTAAGCCCCCCCTTCAATGAAAGTTGGGGGGCTTAAGCCCCTCCTGCCCCCCTGTTCCTACCCCTATGATTTTTATAATTGTTTTTATTGGTAAATCTCATATTAGTAGTTGTTATTGCATGCATGAATTACGTCATGATTTTGATTTTACGAGCCCCCCGCGCTTGTTGGGGGTGGAGCTGACTGAGGTGTCGCGTCGACAGTTCATCATGGCAGAGTGTAAAGATGGTTCTTCAGCTGCTTCTACTTTCGAAGTAACTACTGGGGGAATAAAATATAAATTACCTGTTTGTTACATAGGGTTTTGAAGTTTTGAATGGGCCTTCTAGTGATAATTCAAAGTCTTTTATGAAACAGATGAGAGATTTTGAGAAGACTTTTAAGGACTTACGAGAAGAAAATGGTGAGTTGAAGAGTCTTATGAAATCAAAAGAAGCTAGAGCGAATGAACTAAGTACAAGACTAGAGGGAAAGGAGAGAGAACTGGAAAGAAAAGATATTCAATTGAAGGGAAAATGTGAAGAAGTGATGGAGAGAGACAGAGAAATTAAGCAATTAAGAGAAACAATTGATCAGCAAGATATTCAATTGAAGAAGACGACAGTGGAATGTTTGGAATCAAGCAAACTAACAAACTTAAAGCAGTGTAAAATTGAAGAGTTAATGGAGACGGTTAGAATAGATTCGTGATAATTGTTAGCGTTGGTACTCCTTTATAGAAAGCATCAATAGAAGAAAGATTTGTTGAGTTGATGAAAGACAAATCAGATTTGGCATTAGAACTAAATGATGCTAAATATAAGATAAATGATCTGACACTACAGGTTTCTGATCTTCAGACTGAGGTATGTCATACATCATTTACTTTGACCTTTGCCTCTGGTGCAATGAGCAATGGCTGATTCATTTATACATGTAGATATCAAGATTAAAGGAAAAAATAGAAAAATTGTCTGAGGAAAGAAATAGACTAACTGATGAAAACAATAGATTAACAGAGGACAGAGACAGGATAGCAAGTGAAAGAAATAAATTATCTAGAAAACTTAAGAAAAGAAGTAACGGGTCAGAAGTAGTAGATGAAGAAAAGCAAATCCTCATAACTCAAGTTAATGCTTACAGTAGAGAATGTGACAAACTAAAGGGACAACTACAAACTCAGGTTAGTTGATACTCATGTGACTGGTATCATTATCTATACCACAAAATGATAATAAATGTATTGTAACTAAAAGCATTGCTATACTGTTACATCATGTTGTATGCACTAGGTGACAGAGCACAGGCAATCTCTTGCTAGTGTAAAGGATCAACTACAAACTGCTCATAAGCAACATCGCGAAGAGGTAAACTGATAATGTCTTGGTTTTGGCAATGTTGTTTGCTGTATTTTTGTGTGGTAATGCTTATCTTAATTGTATCAATTTTAGGTCACAGGACTCACTGAACGTATTGATGAACTTGAAAGACAGTTGAAAGTGAGTAAAGAAGAATATAATGAGGTAAATAATGATTTTAAAAATTTTCTTTGATATTAATTTTGACAATTATAGGAAACAGACCGCCTGCGCAAGAAACGTAGAAATGAAAAAGAGAAACGTCAGGCTGATAATGTTGAACATTGCAATATTATTGAATCATTGTATGGAGAGCTACAGCGACAACGGGCCCATAAGAAAGTTCCCAGGCTAGAGCCAAGTATAAATCTCATACCGGTACCAGAAAGAGATGAAGAAAATATTGATCAAATATTACGTGAAGTGGATGAATTTAGGAGAGCTAGAAATGAACATCTCTCTGATAGTACAAGTGCTCTTTGATAGCACTAATGCTGATATATAAGGTATTAAATTCCATAAGTAAAAAATTATTAATTTTATTTGTGTAGTAACTTCAAGAAGATCTTTGTGCTCCAACAACACAAAAATTTTTCTCTGATGGTATTAAACCATATGATCTTGTGGGTGAAATAAGAAAACTGACATGAATTCTGCAGGGGAAGGACATGATAATTATTTTGTATAAATAAAAGCATTAAAATGTTTACAGCCAGATCTACTCTAGCCCCACCCTTTTGGGCGTGGTACAGGTACACCAAGTGATTGATATGGCAGAGTGTGCATCTGTAGAGCAAGATGAAGAGATCGAGCTGCAGGTAACTCATAATGTGTTTGGGACGTAAGTAAACTATAATATTCCTATTTCTGTAGGATTGGGTTTTGGCTGAGCCTCCTTCAAATGGTAGTACAAAATCACTTATGAAGGATTTTGAGAAGTTTAAGGAAAAGTTAGAAGAGAATAAAAAAATGAAGAGCCTTATAGAGGCAAAAGGTACTCAACTGATGGAGAAAGATAGAGAAATTGAACGATTAAGAGAAACAATTGATCAGCAAGATATTCAACTGAGGAAGACAACACTGGAATGTTTAGAATCAAGCAAACTAATGAACTCCAAGCAGCGTAAAATTGAAGAGTTAACAGAGACGGTTAGAATATACTGTATAGTGGGAATTTTTTGTGACCTAAATTTTGTGGATTTTACATTTTAAAAAATGTCTGAAAATGGAATCCACAACATGGCCGAAAAGTAGAAAATCACAGCCATGATACATGATATAGATTTTTGGATGAATTCGTGAAAATTTTGGGTCATGAAAATTTCCACTACATGGTATGTTATTGTCTTGATGTTTTCTCTTGTAGAAAGAATTAATGGAAGAGGAAATTATTAAAATAACAAGAGAGAAATCAGAGTTAACATCGGAACTATTTGAAGCTAAATATAAAATAATTGAGCTGACAGAGCAGATCTCTAATCTTACCATTGAGGTATGGTATGTCACATGATGCATAAATACATCATTCACTTTGACCTTTTCCCTTGTTGCTATATGAGATCAAATATTAAGAATTAGATCCTAAGTTATTCTTAACCTTTTGTTATGGGAAATAATGATAGTTTTACCTTTATTTATTTATACATGTAGGTATCAAGATTGACAGAGGATAAGAAAAAATTGACAGAGGAAGAGAAAAGATTGACCGGGGATAAGAAAAGATTGAAAGACGATAAGAAAAAATTGTTCGAGGAAAGAAATAGACTTACTGATGAAAACAATAGATTAACAGAGGACAGAGACAGGATAGCAAGTGAAAGAAATAAATTAGCTAGGAAACTTAGGAAAATAAGTAAAGGATCAGAAGCAGATGAGTCAGAAGATGAAGAAAAGCAAATCCTCATAACTCAAGTTAATGCTTACAGTAGAGAATGTGACAAACTAAAGGGGCAACTACAAACTCAGGTTAGTTGATACTCATGTGAGTGATATAATGCCATTATCTTTATACCACAAAATGATAATAAATGTATTGTAACTAAAAGCATTGCTATACTGTTACATCATGTTGTATGCACTATATAGGAGGCAGAGCACATGCAATCTCTTGCAAGTGTAAAAGATCAGCTACAAACTCAGGTTAGTTCATACTCATGTGACTGGTATCATTATTTTATGCTATCTAAGCCACAAATTACAATAACAATACTGATAGCATTTGTCCTATAATTCCAGAAATTGTACAAGTACAAGCTTGATTGTTACAAAGGGTGTTTGCTACATGTAGGCATCAAAGCTCACTCAAGAGCTTCATGAAGAGAAGCATTCAACGCAAAAACTTCAGTCAGAGTTAGAAGAAGAGAGGGAAAAGTGTAAGGAACTACAACTTAAATGTGATGGACTTCAACTTAAATATGATGAGCTTAATCGTAAAATGCTTGAAGCTAACAAAGTTAGTAAACTTATATTAGTAGTAGCCAGAGGCGTATTTAGGGGGGGGGGCTGAGGGGGCTTGAGCACCCCCCTCAGGGCTGGGCTCAGAAAAAATTACTGAACTCCTGGACTCTTGCATCACTACCAAGCCTCTTAACAAAGTTATCTAGCCCCCTTATCATGATTTCAGCAGTTTCCAGTGCTTTAAGGAGCAATCAGAAG